CCCCCCCCGGGGGGGGTTGGGGGGGGGATTCTGGGAGTTGAAGTCCACGCATCTTTCAGTTGCTGAGGTTGAGAAACACTGCCCAGAACAATAAAGCAGCATTCCTGAAATCCTTGCAGGATCTGTTTTCTGGCATGGATCTTAAGAGTGGTGTCTACACATTTCCATGATATCCAAAGATTCTTGTCTTTTCCTGCCCTCAAATGAAAAGGGACCGGTGGCATGATCTACCAGCAATGATGGAGCCCCTGTACATGGTGTGACCCATCATTGCTTATTTGGAGATCTGGAATACCTTGGTGGGGTGGGAAGGCGCATGGCCGCGCATGCGTACCGTGGGGAAGCAACCCGCCTGTTCTTCAGAGCTGGCCTAGGATCGCTGGCAATGCAACAGAGCAAGGAAAGTCGTACGCTTGTCGCACATCGGGGGAAATGCACCGATCCTTCGGTTGTGCTCCCAGAGAATACTGAGACCTCTGCAGTCGCTGGATTAGAGCGCCAAACTTTAGCCGGGATGTCAGTTCTCCCTGGCATGCAAACAGGGTAACACCCTCCATGCTGAATCGTGAGAGCAGGTGGCATGTAAACACAGGGGAAGAAATAACACAAACCCGCAGCAAAGCATTAGCTGTCACAGAGCTGTAGTTTTTGAATGAAGGCCGCAGCCAGTCCCGGGTAAACCCGGACGCATCGCTCCCCTCTGCCCACGGAAATTGCAAAGGTGAAGAACCCCGTTCAGTGCAAGCGCAGGGGTTGATTTTCTCCTGGGAAAGCAGCCATGGATAGAAATGTCAGACGTCTACAACAGTTCGCAGGAATTTCAGTGGTAACGCGTCAGGTTGCGGCTTCGCCTGAGTTACGTGTGTTTGCTTATTCGCCAGAAAAAGGAAGGCGATGTGAGGTGAAACGCGGGGCAGGAAAAGGAAAACGAGGCGAGCCCACCCAATACAAACCCGAGCAGAAAAACTTTGGAGTCTCCAAAGAGACTCGTCTCCCGTAGTGGCGATCTCCCCCGGCACTTATCCCTATAGTAACCCATATGGTGAGGATATCATTTGGCCGAGGTCCTGTTTCTCCCTTCCACTGCTCTGGAGTTAACTGAACGACAATCAAGGGAGCTGAAGGGCATGATGGGGTTATTTGCGTTGCTGAAATGGAGCCGGGTGAAAGATCTGGCAGGGGGCGAGAAAGCTGGAGGAGCGGAGGAGGAAAATATAACCAAGCAGTTGGAGAAAAAGGTTGGACTCCAGCCCGGTGCTCACCCGTGCTCTGCACTTCATGTGGCCATGGAGCATCGCTGGGTCTGGGACGTGGCTTCTGACTGCTGCAAGGATCTCGAGATGCAAAGACTTATAAACTACATTCACCTTTTCTGTACCATTTTCCCATCAAGTGTCCATAGGGCAGTGTTTCTCAACCTTGGCCACTTTAAGATGTGTGGACTTCAACTCCCAGAATTCCCCAGCCAGCTATGTT